GCCGACCTTCGGCTTCACGCAGGAGCAAGTGGCGTGCGTGTGCGAGGTGCTGCAGCAGGGCGGCAACATCGAGCGGCTCGGCCGCTTCCTCTGGTCGCTGCCCGCCTGCGAGCACCTCCACAAGAATGAAAGCGTGCTCAAGGCCAAGGCCGTGGTGGCCTTCCACCGCGGGAACTTCCGCGAGCTCTACAAGATCCTGGAGAGTCACCAGTTTTCGCCGCACAACCACGCCAAGCTGCAGCAGTTGTGGCTCAAGGCGCACTACATCGAGGCCGAGAAGCTGCGCGGCCGGCCGCTGGGCGCCGTGGGCAAATACCGTGTGCGCCGCAAGTTCCCGCTGCCGCGCTCCATCTGGGACGGCGAGGAGACCAGCTACTGCTTCAAGGAGAAGAGTCGCAGCGTGCTGCGCGAGTGGTACGCGCACAACCCTTACCCTTCGCCCCGCGAGAAGCGCGAGCTGGCCGAGGCCACCGGCCTCACCACCACGCAGGTCAGCAACTGGTTCAAGAATCGGCGACAGCGCGACCGGGCGGCAGAGGCCAAGGAAAGGTACGAGTAAGTAACACTTTGGCGTCGTCTCCATTGGGCCAGAGGGAGGGTGTCCGGGATCGTTTGCCACCGTCCAGAACGGGCCTAATGTGGCCTGACCCTGATGGCGCAGAGGTTGTGCGGGAGACCCCACCAGCAGGGATTTGTCCAAAGCGGGCTAAGCCCTCGAAAAGTTGTCGGTTACACCCAGGTGACTCGTGGACAAAAGTGGAGAAACAGCTAGCTCAAGCTCGGGGCGGGCCAGGCCAGGGGACCTGGACAGCCTGCAAGTGGGCTTGGCAGGCAGGGCCTCATGGACCTCCCTCCTGATGGAAGGAGGGGCTTTGGTCTAGGACATTGTGGTCTTTTGGATTTCAGGATGGCCCGAGCGAATTCGCCAGCACTTCCTCTTCATCCTTATTCAGCTCTAGACTCAAAGGAGATTAGGGGTCAGGGCTGGAATGGGAACTTCTTTGCTATGACCAGAGACTGGAAGGAGACTTGTCTTTGTCCACGTGTAGAAGTTAAAAAGAGCTTACTTCTTTATCCCGCATAGAAAGAACTGCGGAAGAATGTTCTAGGGGAGGAATTGTCAGGCCTGGAGACAGAGCGAGAGCGAGAGCGAGAGCGAG